TCTTTTTTCACTCGCGTATGCACGTTTGCGCCATCGACCAATACCAGCAAGAATAAATCTTGCCTGTTGTCAAATACGTTGAAGCCGGGCCGTGAAGGCATGCATGCAACGCATGCGCATCTGGATAGACACACATTCAACAAACATTAGTTCCAGAGACCCTCATTTTCAAGTCTGAGTTAGTTCCAGAGCTCCCCATTTTTGACTTCGCAGTGGCACATACCTACCATAATGTGGGGTGAGTGCCCCTCCCCCCGGGCCCGTACCCCGCTAGCGAATGCCAACAACTTCGCTCGGTTACACGGAGCATTGCTCGCGGCAAATTTCTAGCATTTAAATAATTGTAACTGGAGAGCTCTGACATGATGTCTTTTAGTCACTTTAGCCACGACCATCGCGCTTTCTCATCCGAAGTTCCGTGTTGACATGGCAGCTGTCCAGAAGGCTTCGCACGAAGAGAGGGCACCGCCTCCTGTTATCTCTTCTCGCAGCACACTAGCAACTGGTTCGCGGCATCGCGAAACTGCAAGAGCGTCGGCGCAGAGCTGGTTGTCATAGAAACGGCAGAAGAGGACAGCTTTATACGCGGCCACATACTCTCCAACTACCAGCGCAGGTTTAGCTTCTGGATTGGATGAATGATCTGGAGAAGGAAGGTACGTTGCCACGCATGCGTGAACAGTTATGGATGCGTGCTATCTACAAATTGCTGCTAAATAACATTTTTATCTCGCTGTACGCTTCCGAACCCTATCTATTGACGAAATTCTTTTGAAGAGATGCGCGATGGTGTTTCTTTGCTTATGTGGCAATATTGTGCTGTCGCGTATTTGCTAAGTAAATCCATCTTTCTTAGGACTGTGGTCATGGCAAGGCACCGGACAGCTTCTTGCTTATAGTAACTGGAACCCCGGAGAGCCAAATACTGTAGTTCAAGGACAACAAGATTGCGGTCTCTTGTACAAAGAAACGTCGTACACGTGGCACAACGCCCCTTGCTACTGGGCTGCAAATCAAGACATGCATTTTATTTGTGAAATAAGAATATCCGAGTAATCAATGATAATACACTATCATTATAATAGACGAAGGACATATATTTTCACGACTACGCGCTTCACCGCACGCACGCACGCACGCACGCACGCACGCACGCACGCACGCACATCGCGCACAGTCAACTCTCCAAATACCGACCGCAATTATAGGACCGTCCATTTAGTTCGCGTTTTGCCATTGTAACGAGTAAACCACAGCTATATTCAGAATATGAATTTTATACCAATGAAACCTGATTCACATATTCAGAAGTTATAGAAGTGTTAGCTTGTTCTCATCGTCTGCCACGATAGAAAACTATCCGGTATTCAAGAGTAGCCCAGTCCGGCATTCGTTTATATGTAACGCTGCACAGCGTTAAAATCACGAGAGCTTTAATCTTCCCCCCCCCACCGGCGCGATGACTCTGTCGAAAGTCGCGCGAACACGCCGAGGGATTAAGGGACTGACCGGCGGAAGAACTAATCGGTCGGCGTGTACGTGCCGCGACTGCGACAAGAGGAGTCGCGCGAGAGAGCTATGATGCGGTGTGATGCGAAGTGACAAGTGTGCAGCGACCGCATCATGTCTGTCTTAGCAGTGCCGGATTAACCATTAAGCAGACGTGCGTGCGTACGTGCGTGCGTGTTCACGTGCGCGTTTGTCTCAAGGTGTATGAGATATAGATTGAATAACTTTTTAAGTGCATAGCATATTTCTAAATCGTCCCTTGGTTAGCCAATGTGAATTACGTGTGCGTACCTGTAGGTAGAAGGTGCATGTTTATGTATGTAGATGTGAACGTCACACGTACTGTACACTGCTGGATTTCATTATATGACCATTCGGTCACGACAGATACGAAAGTGCCTCGATCCGTCATGAGACAGCTTATATAATATATATAATTTATAGCGTTTTAATTCCGTGGAATGCTCTCAATGAAAAAGTAGGAAAAAGTTATGTTTGTTTCCTTCTAATTCCCTGTTTGTTCACCTCCGTTTGAGGATAAAACGTCTGGGAAAAACGGAACAGACAGGCAGAATTTGACTGGCGCGAATTTCCCCTAGCTGCACTGACTAGCGCGGGCGCATGCGCAATTATGGAGCGGTGCTTGCGTTCACGGAGCCCGTCTACTGCAGGTGGATTAAAACGTTTATAGATAATAAGATGTAATATAGCATCTACATTGGACTGAAAAGCAAATGTCCTCATTGTTCCGCTCTACTAGCTACGGAGAAATGGGGACTGTTTTGTGGAAAGGGTAACGGTTATTTTCGGGACGCAGGATTGGGCCATTTTTAATTATCTGGGAACCGGGAAATACCGGATGAATTTTTGTGTGATTTAAGAATAGAAGTCAATTGGAACGCGGGAAACCTGAAATTGTTGTTATTAACCAGGAACTGGAAAATGGCATATTTTTCCATATGTCTCGGGGAATAACCCCCCCCCCCCCGGTTTCCTTGTTTTATGGGCGTCTTATCTACAGTGCCTACTGCAGCCCCATTCTGGTATCTTCATCCTTCAAGGTACTATAGCATCGGAAATCACAGGCTCTGTACTGTATGTGGTTTCATAGAAATTAATTTTTGGTATCACCATATCGGAGTTATGTTCACTCGTTTCATGTCAGCTGAAATATGTCCCACCACCTTTCCACGCTACAATAATCATTTACAATTTCCTCAAAAGATGGCGTTTAGATGGCTGAAAAGATGGCGAAAAATGTGTGACTCGGAATGTGACATCTGTAGACTGTAAGGAAATTAACATTTTATTTAGCCCAAAAAATCTAAAAGAATAATAAATGTTCTATCATTGCATGAAGCTGCTTCAAAATTATCAATACTATTAGTTGCAGTGAATTAACATATATATATTCTGGTCCCGATCTCTCCTATAATTTATAGGTACGAGATAGGGGCTGGGTGAAGTGAAATAAATAATTACAGATAAATCCCATGCCATTGTCAGACGATACCTTGTAAACCAGTACCGATACCTTGTACCAGGAAAACGTTTGAGTCTATTAAATCTCGTATCGCTTCCTAGCCTGGACGACTGCATTCAATAATCAAAGCTAGGTGCCTCGCCATGAGATGAGATCAACCACTTGCAGCAATTAAAGAGGAAAATACTTATACAGACTGTCTCGTGAGGGTTAGTGTTCTGTATTTGTCGTATTTCTAAATGGAAACGCACTTCTGCATGATGTAATAATTAATTATTGACGATTAGCGATTGACTACACGCACGTGATTGCATGTGCACTGTTGTTTGCAGCAAACTATCGAATTTTTGGGATCAAACAAATCATTTCATATAGCTCTCTTATACGCGTGAATCACATATGAAGTAAAAGTGGATCCCACATATAGTAAGCGTGATTTATGCATGAAGTGAGCAGCAATCACGTGTGAACTGAACGTCATGTACGTACGCGCGAAGAAGACGCTCTGTTTAGAAAGAAGCTAGTTGATGTACAATCGCATGGCTTACTATAGGAAGGTGTTTATTACATACATTGAGTTAACCTGACAGACGTGCCCTGGACAGAAGACTGGCAGGCACCAGGGGTTAACCCATGCAGGTACGTAGGTACGCAGGCGCGCTGGCACATTGGCATGGTGAGAGGGTGTGTGCGCACACCTGCGTGAGAGGTACGCATGAACGTCACTGACATTGCGCGCGCAGTAACGCGGCGTTGCTGGATTTAATCACCGGGTGGCAGGCGCGGCGCTATGGTAACAGGCGGGAACCGTTCGACTATACTTCCGCTCTCCTGCTGCTGTCGATAACAGCAGACGTAGCGGCCACTAACTCTGCACGGCGCGCGCGATGTGATGTGAGCGGCTCTCAGAGCCTGCGTGCGCTGCGATACAACGAAGCCATTAGGTTGTTCTTACGCCACCTTCAGGATACCAAGGGTGCGGAGACAAAGACGTAAGTGTAGTGACAGTTCCAAGCACAGACGGCGCGCTGATAACGTGACCGTGACCGTGACGTAACGTTAACGAATATACTATATAAACCCTAAAGTCAAGTCGTGAGTGCGGTGATTACGCCGGTAATACCGCCGAGTGCCGTGAATAGTATATAAACGGTTGCGATATATCGCCTCGCGTGTAAACAAGACGTAATTAATTTCATCTTTCATGCGAAATGAATTCCTGCCCCGAGTTGGCGATAGAACTATACACGACGGACGGACTTTGAGCGAGTGCGCGCCACTGTTCTGGTGCAGCCAATAGTTCGTCTGCGGTGTAATAGAGCGTGACGTAAGCGTGCCACACACACACTGAGTGCACTGTCGTCTTCACCGGTGTGCGTGTTGCTCGGCGCGAGTCTTCGAGAATGCGGCCAAGAGTTGCTGTAGTTACGCGGCAGAGATTTAACCGTCGTCGGCCGACTATAGGTTAGGTGGAGCGAACGGTAGGAACTTCGCTACATTAATTGTTGCCAGCGAACGACGCCGGTTTCTATATAAATGCGTTGTCTGAAACCCTTGCATGACGCCGACGCGCTAACAGACGTCGGGATTGAGAACACACCACAGAACGTCAAGCTCCCAAATCGAAACAACGGCCGTGAACATGTCGTTCTTCAAATTCTGGCAAAGCGGAGGCGGAAAGAGCAGCGGCGGCGGCGGCGGCGGCAGCGGCAAGTCGGACGCGCTGCGGGAGAACAACGTGAAGCGTGGCGCGCGCGGTGAGGAGGCAGACGCGCCGGTCGACGTGGTGGTGAGGAGAAACGTGAAGCTGCTGCACTCGGGCCGCGCGAAGAAGCGCAACTCGCGGCAGGGCTTCCAGCAGCATCCGGAGATGTACAGCATGTACAGAGACTCTATCGCCGACGGACAGCAGAAGAAGGGTGAGCACGGCATCGAAAACAACGACCCCGTGGCTCCGTTCGCAGCGCCCCCGAGTGACAATTCAAGCCGAGCACCGGTTGATACTCGAAAGGGACTTCCTCCCTTGCCCGGGGAGGTGTTCAAAACGGATGATGGCGAAGAGAGGATTCAGTTTTGATGCGCGATAATTCGTCTTTGTTATGGTTGGCTCTTGGTATATGTCAATTGTTCATCATGTATCATTTTTCTTTGCTATACAATTGGCTCGTGCTATGTCCATTATTCATCTTGTATAGTTTGTGTTTTCCGTGAAATGTCCATTGTGCATCCTGTATGATTTGTGTGTTATTGCTATAATTGGCTTGTTGTATGCTCATTGTTCATCCTGTGTAATTTGTGTTTGTGTTTCGCCTGCTTCGAGGAGAGAGGGGGGTCAAGACGACGGAATTATAATCCGCAAGATTAGTGTAACAACGAAATCGCTTACGAGATGTTTTGCATACGCTTTTCTCCAACCATTTTAGAGATGGCCACGTAAGATTTACATCTTTTGGCCAGTTATGTCACTATTCAACGTGTTCACAAGGACTCGCATGTCTTAGTTATATAGTACTAGGCACGCGCCCATTAGACATGTATGTGTAATACTATTTCGAATACTATAAATGCCTAATAAACGTGGGCTATTTTTAGTTAGTTAGTTAGTTGGCGTTTTATTTTAATCGAATTTGTCCGAGAAAGTCACAG